CGGCGGGCCAGGGGCCCCGGGTCAAGGGCGCCGGGCCGGGCCCTGCTGCTAACTCTGGTGCTATGGGGTCCTGAGGGAGCTTCCTAATAAATCAACCATCGCCCTTCATACATCTGTTTGGTTTTTTTCTTTTAAACTGGAACTTTTCACACACTAAATTTGTAAATGTCCGTGTATATTAACACTGCCTTAAAAACCATACACAATCGTAATTTGGCTTTTGCCCCCAAATTTAGAAATTTTTTATCTTAAGAACTTTTAAAAACTCGACTTCTGTGAAGCCAGCACTTGAGCTGTTCTACGTGTGTGCCTAGTGCGCCCTAGAGATCTGCAGGAGCAAAAAATCACCACCCAGCCTTGCTCACTGCTGAACGACGCGCACACCTCGGCTTCGCATGATTTAACGCAGGCGCCGGAGTCCAGGTGCGTTTGCAGAGGCTGAACGCTGGTATCTCCCTGTGCTTTGGGGCCTGGCTCTCTCTTTCCCGAGTTTTACTAATTCTTCCCAGGCCACTCTTTTCTCCCCCACGGTTTCTGGTTCACTTAGTTGCTGGCATCTCTTGTACCATCAACCCCAGACAACCTTCTCCTCATCCTCAGATCTGCACACTCAGTTGCCTAAAGGGTCTTTCCCTGTCGATTCGTTCATTCAGCCGAACATTTTCTGAGCATATTTTCTGGGCCAGGAGTTAATTCTTAGGTTCACAGCAGTGAACCTAAGAGGACATCGTCTGCGGCCCCATGGAGCTCACGTTACAGACGGAAGAGAAGCAACAGGACTAGGCATTGCAGGTGGAGATCAGACCATGGGAGAGGAGCCTTGGAGAAGGGACGTTTTGAAAGGCTGGCTTGGGAAGACACACCGAGGAGACGCTTGAGCACGAGGCGGAGGGAAGCAGGCAGCGAGGGCGCAGACGGCCGGTGGAAGGCGCTCCAGGCCTCCCACAAGCGCTTCACAGGAGAGGCGCCAAACCGAATGCACCTTTTCCTTGCGAGAGGCCCCTCTCCCTGACTTTCCCAGCCCTGAATTGTGCCATCCTCTCTCCCAGCCCTCAAAAAAAAAAAAAGCAAACCCAAAAAACAAAACAAAAAAAACAAAAACAAAACAAAGAAACCTGGCCTTACCCCTAGACTCCCTCCTTTCTGCCACCCTGAACAGCCCTGCGAGCCCTGGGCCTCGGCCGCATCCCACAGCGCCCCCCAGTTCATTCCTGTTGCGAGGAACCCTGTCCTGCCCCCTTTAGGCCCCCGTCACGCCCCACTCGGGTTCCCCTAATCGGCGGTCCCTGGACCAGCCTCACTGCCGCCTCCCACCCACCCTGCGGCCCGCGCGGCGCCACCTGCGCAGTGCAAAGCAGGCGTCGAACCCACCCTCTCTGAGGCGGCCCGAAGGCCTGGCGCGACCGCGCCCTCGCCCTGCCCCCCTCCGCCAGCGACAGGCCGCTTCTCACCACTTTAACTTACTGACTCACACCAAGTTCCTCTCAGAAGTGACCCCGTGCCACACTGGGCCCCCTCCCACGCTCCTCGTCCCTTCGGCAGCAGTGATTGGTTTGCGGATGTGTCTCTTCGAAGCCCAGCTCGGTGTGTGATTCCAAGCAAGCACCGAAAAAATGAATGGATGAAAGTTAAATGCGTTACCCTTCATGGCTGGGGTCATGGAAACCAGGACACCCCACACTTAAACCCCAGCCACAGGCTATGGGGTCCCCTCTCCTCAAAGTCTCAGGATCACCTTACAAACCCCTCCTCCATACGCAATTCCACATACTCTGACCCTGAGCACAATATACAATTTGCTTGGAAAATAATTTGACTGAAAAGCACAATACACTTTTCCCAAGTAATGGCTTCTATTTTAGAAAGTCACCATATACATCATTTCATCTGTGCACTTCCGTTGTTAGCAACAAAGAGAATTCCGGTTCCAGAATGTATGAACTGCAGAAATTATGACTCACTTTGGTTACAGATAATCTGAAGTTGACCTGGTTACAAGGTTTAGAAAAGGAAACTGAAGCTAGTGACTGAAAGCAAGCCCAGGTAAAAAGGGCTCCACAAAGCTTCCCGAGTGGCACTGGGAGGAAAGAGATCAACTTGTCTATGAAGGAGCAGGGACAGCCCACTCCAGGATCCACACACAGAGTTAGCAAAACGTTTACCATACAAATGGGGGGGGGGCCAGGAATAACAAAGTGTACTTTGCTATGTATCATGTTTAGAGTGAGATGAAACAAACTGGCAAGCTTCTCATTGATTGTGCCCAGGAGGGGTAGCAAATCTTTGTTTACAATGGTTGAGAGGAAATTCACAGGGCAGCACTGCATTACTTTGAGGTATGTTACTGGCCGTGTTTCCATTTGTTACCACATGGTCTTCTTTATGCAGTTGGATTGGACTAATGACCATTATTTCCAAAGAATTAGGGTTCATTTGCTTTGTAGAGAGTAGTAAAAAATATTAGAATTCTTATTTTATATGCTCCTATCACTATTTTGACATGTCTACCTAGGTACGTAGGAAGATTTACTCAACATATTCTTGATGATAACGGTATAAAACATAACCTGCCCTGGCCAGCATGGCTTGGTTGTTTGGAGCATCATCCCATAGACCTAAGGGTTGTGGGTTCGATTCCTGGTCAGGGCACATACCTTGGGTGCCGGTCAGTACCCAGTCAAGGTGCGTGCAGGAGGCAACTGATACACATTTCGCTCTCACGTGAATGTTTCTCTCCTTCTGTCTCTCTCCTCCCCTTCTCTCTAAAAATTAATACTCATATCCTTGGGAAAAAATATGTATATAAAATGCAACTTTTTAAAAATAGGAATTCTTAAAGATATTTAAAATATTTTGTGGACATAAAAACACGTTTTCATTTAAAGAAATTTTATCGCTAGTTAGGCACTGCAACCAGCTGGCAACGTACTTAAAATGGACTGCGACTCTGTGGGTAGGTGCAGGGCGGAGACCTGGGGTCTAACTTCCGGAAACATTGTGGGAGACGCTGCTGGCAGCGGGCCACACTTTTGAACAGCAAGGCCTGAATTGGTGGTTCTCAGCCTGAGGTCTATTGGAATCACCTGGAGAGCTTTTAAAAAACAGCATTGCTAGGGTGAAAGGTTATATAGCTAAGGTCTGGTCTGGTTATTGATTTTTTAAAACTCCCAAGCAGCCAAATTGAAGAACCTATGGCCTAAAACGGATTGGTTAGATTATCCCTGGTTTCTACTACTGTAAATAAAGCTAAGAGCCCTTGCTGATGTGGCTCAGTGAATTGAGTACCAGCCTGTGAACCAAAGGGTCACTGGTTCAATTCCCAGTCAGGGCACATACCTGGGTTGTGGGCCAGGTCCCCAGTTGGGGGCACTCGAGAGGCAACCACACATTGATGTTTCTCTCCCTCTCTAAAAATAAATAAAATCTTAAAAAAAAAATTACAGAGCTAAGAATAACCAGCACTGAGAGTAACAGATGCCCCAAATCTCCACATTCTTACTGAGACTATATCAATCGGGTTCTAACGTTAAGAATTTTGGTGGCTTCATTTATATACTCTTATCAAATTATTTAATAACATACTTTTAATATATTTGAAAGTTTATTCATGGAATTATCTTATTTTTAGGTTAGGATGTAGATATGTAAAAACGTGATTTTAACCACATGGAGTTATCTATTCCTAATTACAAATAAAAAGTTTAGATTAGTTTGCAAGTTTATAAAAAAAACCCCAAAACCCAAACCCACACCTGGTACACACACCAGCAGAAAGGCCCGGACTCAGAAAGGACAATCAAAAGCTTACTCCGCGTCCATCCCCACCTGAGGTCAGCACCACCGATCCTCGAGTTTCAAACAAATCACCACTCTTATCCTAATTGTTGCTGAGCTGAAGTTTTCAAAAGGTCCAGCTTCAATTACATTCCAAGGGTCCCTCCCTAACACCTAGAACCACACATTATAAAAACTTAGTAAAAAAAAAAAAAACTTTAAACTCTCAGGTGTTTGCAGAAATGCCCTCGTACAGTAAAGAGTACTGAAGTACAAATTAACTGCCACATACCATGCAACTTACTCAAACTTTCTGAATCGGCTTCTCACCCCTAAAATAAGATGCAGAGAAAGTCCAGTAAGAATGTGAAGACACACAGAAATAGCATTACGTATAACTATGACAGACCAAAAAATACATTCATAGTGTAGCAGTGCAAAAAAATTACTCCGGCCCTGGCTGGTGTGGCTCAGTGGATTGAGTGCTGGCCTGTGAACCAAAGGGTTGTGGGTTCGATTCCCAGTCTAGGACACATGCCTGGGATGCAGGCCAGGTCCCCAGTAAGGGGCATGGGAGAGGCAATCACACATTGATGTTCTTCTCCATCTCCTTCTCCGCCCCCTTCCCCTCTCTAAAATTAAATAAATAAAACTTAAAAAAAAAAAAAAAGAGTTGAGACTGGGGGCTCCTTCCAGCTTTGCCACTAATTAGCAACCTAAGACCAAAGCACATACTTTAGTCTCATTTTAAAAATAAGGACACTTCAAATATATGATCTTGAGAACCCCTCCCAGATCAAAGCTCTGTCATCTAAAAACACTAATTAAGCGGTCCTCTGAAGCAAATGAGATTCATTCTAACAACAAAACCCCCCCAAGAGTTTACTTTTAACATGACTGGATTAACAAGTCTCTTAAGGAAAAAACCATTTTAAACTTGTCTTCAAGGAAAGTCTGCTATTTGGCTCTCATTTAAAATAACAAATAAATTTAAAAATTAAAAAAAAAAAAGGAGTGTAAGGGAAATGGGGAGGAAGGGAGCACTGAGGCAGCACAAGAACTCTACGCAGAAATCACACACACACTGGGCACAGAGGACAATGACATATTCAAAAGCTTTTCCTAAGGAAAATGCTCTCCAAGCATAAAGGATGGGATTTTATGACGTGTCCCAAGGAGTATACAACGATCCTTATCAAACACACAAAATGATCGCTTCTGGGCCGTTTGACTAAGATCAAGCATAAATACACAAAATGTTTCCAAGTGCTGCAAATAACTCATGATTTCTAGATAAGATTATTCTGGTCAACAAACATGGTAGTACAAAAGGATGATTTCCTTTTAATTTATTGTTTCATTTTAAATACAGGTCCTGCCAGCCACAAAATACCTAGTGTGACAGCTCTGCGGGACAGTCACAGAGTGCTCTGTGACAGGGATGCTGAGAAAACTCAGCCGCTGAGGAGTCTCAAGGACGGTTCCAGTCATTCGTCTTCTTCGGAACTGGAGTCCTCCTCTTGGTCAGAGAGTTCGGGGACAGGGAAGCGGAGAATGGCGGCCACTCCCGTCAACTGGCTGAGCTGCTCCCCCGAGACGTGCAGGCTGGAGAATATCCTGACAGTGCCGGCGTTCTCCTTCACGCTGTCCACCAGCCGCACGTAGCGGCTCCGCGTGGCCACGTCCTGGTGCCTGAACAGCTCGTCGCTGATGAGCAGAGTGTCTATAGCCAGGGCCTCGTTGGCCTTCTCCACCTGCTTGAGTCCATAAAAAGCTCGGTCAGGTTCGTGCTGTAACATTTTATAGAAGTCATCCAAGGCCTTCACTTCGCCAGCAGCTTTCGTGTCTGAAAGGCGGCTCGCCACCGTAGGGTCACAAAGGGCCTCCTTGAGGGCGTACTTGTGTCCGGAGGAGGCATGTACCTGCAATCGCAATGACAGAGGTCAGGCAAAAGAATCTCTTCCAGCACCCGTTCATCAGCCCGCAAGGACCTGAAGCCAAAAGCGCTAGCGAGGCTTGCTGTGTGTAAGGACTTCAGCAAAGCTTACTGTATAAACTGGCTAGCTATTCAACAGCCATTTTCATTATATCTTACTCAGAATCCCAGTCAAATGAAGACTTCCTCCCCTTGTAGTTTTCCCAGTTGTAAATCTTTAGGAATAGTTTCTACAAACCCCTCTGGCGATTTTTAGTCCCGGGGTGGGGGAAGACGTTGTACCTGAAGGAATTTGGACCGGTTTTCCAGGAGCAGTTTGTTGTCCGTCTTCACGGCTTGCTGAAACATGTAGTCGCAGAACTGCTCCCGCACAAACCCGGGGCTGGCCACCAGGACGCACTTCACAACATCGAAGTTGATGTGGCGCTGGATGGCCTGGACCACCTGCTCGTAGAAGCGCTCCAGGGCCCGGTCGTGCTGGGCGCAGTTGCCCTTGCGTTTCCGAGGGATGTTCACCTCCACCTTGGCCCGTGTGAGGGTCATGCTGGGCGTGACCAGGCAGACGTGCGCCAGGCCCTCCTGCATGACCACGGCCGCCACGTCGGCGCTCCAGGCCGGGTCGCAGGCCTGCTCGATGCGCTCCAGCACCACGCTGTCCCACTGCTTCTTGGCCAGCGTGAACTGGCGGTTGGGCTCCAGCTCGATGGTGTGGTACGCCCCCATCTTCACGTACTCGTTCTCCTGGATGTTGGTGCCCTTCACCCGCAGCTGACAGGCCTGCGAGTCGAAGTCGATGGCCTCCACGCAGAGGGTGAGCGTGGTGCGCACGCGGTTGCTGCCCACGCTGCCCGTGGACGACTCGGTCTGCACCTTACGGATGGTGGAGGCGCGCAGGCTGTCGCCCACCTGCACCAGGTTGTAGGTGTGCCACATGTCCTCGGGCTCCTCGGGGACCAGGGTCACCTGGCCCGCATTATCTTTCTCAATGTCCTTCCTCACGAGCTTCATGGTTCCGGCAGGGGCGCGGGGTCCGACCAAAGGGACCGCGGGGTCCCCGCAGGGAGGGGACGGGGAGTCCCAGCCAGGAAGGGGGCGGGGCCTGTCTACGGGGTTCCTAGGAGCGCTGGGTGGAGGGAGGAAAGACTAGCTCCGACTGAAGCAGCAGAGAGAAACACTTACTCCAGTCCTACCTCGCTTAGCCTTGGGGCGCGCCGCGACAGAAGGGCACGAGAAGCACCTTACCTAACAGGGTCCTGTCCGCGGTTCCTGCCTCCAGCGCCGAGCGGCTGATGCAATGAGGGCGCATGCGCAACTCACGCCCTCAGTGCCCCCTCCCGGCGCACGTTTGACGTCCTAGGGGAGGCGGAGCCGCACCTTGCGCGTGCGCAGGCGCAGTAAGCGGAGAGGCGCTCCCGACCGTAAATCCCCGAAGAGAGGTGGTAGATGCTCGCTGGAGAGTCCCGTGTTTTAATGCTCAAGTCGCACTCCCTAAGTGTTCCCTTGCTCTCCTGTTTGTGAAGAATCTGAGGGTGTAGAAGTGAAAAATGTACGCGTTTTTAAAGCTGTGTGGAGCTGCCACTCTCTGCCTTCTCCCTTCGGGTAAATCCAACTTCAAAACTTACATAAAACTAAAAAAAAAAAAAAAAAAAGAAAATTCTCCATACAGACTTGACCTCAAAGTTGCAAAATATGTTTTGGTCTCGCCATACCCGCCCTTGGACGCCGCGAGCCGCCAGGACCCAGATCCTCCCGGAGCGGCTTCCGAGAAGGACGGGTCGCGATCGTCCCGCTCCGAGCCACGTGCGCGCACCTGATCAGCCCAGGTCAGAGCTCCGGTCCCAGGGACGGAGGCAACCACCGCGCGGTCTGCCCCTTGGTGGACCTCGCAGTCGCTCGCCCGAAACCTGGGACTCCCAGAGCCCAGGAGGGGCCCCCTCAGCCCCTCAGTTCAGCCGCAGGGGCAAGTTTAGGTTGGGGGTTGGGTCTGAGGAGCTCAGGCGGGGACCGTCGCCGCCACTGCTGAGAGCTGAGATTTGGAAAGGGATGGGGGCAAAGTGATCCACTAGGACCCCCGATTTGACAGCAACAGAATTGGTTTTAAAGAAAACCCTAAGTCGCAACGTTTGTTAGGGGGTGGGGAGGGTTGAGGGGCGGGGATTGCCGCTTAACAAGACCCGCGAGGAGTAAATGCCCAGCAGTTTTTTTGGAGAGTCCAATGTCATTCGTTATCTTTCCGGTCTTCTAGTGTGTGGCTGGGACGGGGAAGCTTATCACCCTAAAACGGGAGACAGGGATGAAAGGGAGGGTTCCGACTTTGGCACAAATCTTAATACTCAAGTCTCAGTGATGATCTTGCTCAGAGATTGTCGGGGAACCCGAAGGTCCCGCACTGGAGCTGTAGCGCCCGTTAGGGCTGCCCTTTATTTTGTGGTCTCTCCTCTCCCTCCCACGTCCTTTCCCGTCTTTCCGCGACACCGAGCCCCGCCCCCCAAACCGCCCCCTCCCCGCGAGTTCCTAACTCGTTTCTTTCTCCTTCCCCTTCCAAGAGATTGCACCGTGCAAGGAGAGGATCACCCCAACTTGTGAAGACAGCTTGTCTCGCCAAAGGACAACGTTATCTTTTTAAAAGGTGCTTATTAACCTAGAAGAGTTCGTAACTGGGAGAGGGAGGGGAGAGAGGAGATACTTTGAGGTTCTCCTTGATCGCCTTTCTAAATACAATTCACCTATCTCCAAAGTCAGCCAAGGAGTAAAACCCACAGAATCACAGTGGTAGCACACAGTAGGAGCTTAATAAATTTTAGAGGGTTTTTTTGTTTGTTTGTTTGTTTTTTGGAGACCTATCATTTATTGAATAGTCACCAGGGGTTTTCCTATGCTCTTTCTAATTCTCATCTGTAAGGTCAACATTTGTTATCCTCGTTTTATAGATTTAAAAAATTGTTACAGAGAAGTTAAGAAAGGTATCAAACATCACATACCCACCATTGAAATTCAGACCTACTCCACTCCACACCCTCTCCTCTTTCCACGCCTGCAGAGCGGCATCAGGGAGGCCTGCAGCCCTCTGTGCGACCACAGTCCCCGCTGTTACCCACCGCCACCACTGTAACCGTCGTCACCTTTGCAGCTGAACACAGCCAACCTGCAGGAGTTGAAAGGCGCCATTCCCTTCTTCGCTCATTGGTCACTGTTAAAAGCCTTTATCTTCTTTTCAACAGTTTTCATGTTGCCCAGCCTAGATCACCCTTATAATCCTTGAAAACAACCCAATATTCTGTTTTAGGAAAATACATTTTTCTACATGTCAAACTCATAGATAACATGAACAAGTGGTGGTTCAGGCCCAGGCAGAATTTGAAGGAGAGCTCTCTCATCGAGCGATTTTATGATGGCCGAGCTCGTCCAGACGTGTCCACAGACACAAGAGAAAATGTCCCTAAAATATTGTGACTCCAATATTTTGGACCAGAGACGGGAAGGGTGGAATTAATAACTCGCAGAGATGAGCTGTGGGGAGGGCAGAAGGGTGTGGTGACTATGAGGTCAGGCTGGAACGCTGGGTGTGAGGCGACAGGGGGCGGGCTGCGGCCCTGTGGCCGCGGCCCTGGGCGCTAGGTACACAGAGAGGTTATCAGCAAAGAGTTAGAATTTAAAGCTGCATAGCTAAGGAGAAACTCTGAGCGAGAAATGAGGGAGCCGTGGACGTGGTGCAGGGGAGACTGCAGGTGGGAGTCCTGGGAAGGCGGTGGTCTGTCCACGGGGTCAGGCGCTGTTCAGCGGTGAAATCCAGTGAGGCTGGAATAAGGATCATTGATGTTGATGATCCTGACAAGAGCTGTTTTACTGGCATGAGTGGACCAGTTGAAAAGGAAAGAAATTGGAAACAGAGTATAAACATGCCATCCTGCAAAGGCTACAGATTGTATAGTCAAACTATATGATATTCTGGAAGAGGCAAAGCTATAAAGACAGTAGAAAGATCCCTGGTTGCCAGAGTCTGAGGGGGGAGGGGCGAGAAGGGAAGGAGGAGGGATGAGGAGGCAGAGCACAGGGGGCTTTGAGGACAGTGTAACTATTCCATGTGATACTGGAATGGTGGACATACGACATGCGTTTGTCAAAATCCATAGAAATGTACACAGATAGAAACTGTGGACTTTATTTTAAAATAATGTGTCAATGTCAGTTCCTCAATTGTAACAAATGGACCACACTGATGCAAGACAGTAATGGGAAAGTATGTATGTGTGGTGGGGGCCGATCATATGGAAACTCTGTATCTTCTGCTTACATTTTCTATAAATCTAAAACCGCTCTTTAAAAAAACCTGTGAAAACCCATTTGTCTGTGGGTTTTGTTTTTTTTTTTAATTTAAATTATGAGGCAAACTGCTTTGTGCTTCAGTGATGGAACAGACTACAGAATTTTTCATAGAATTACCATTTGATCTGAAACATCTTTAACAGCTTCCTTTCTTTCTTCCTTTCTTTCCTTTTCTTTCTTTCTTTTCTTCTTTCCTAAAAGGGGCTTCTGGTTGAGTGAGCAGACATTTCCCCCCAGATTTTGTGTTGTGACTTTAGTACTTCCAGACCCACCGTCACACTTGTTTTTAGTTATTCGTAGTTTCCAGTCCTGTTCACTGAAACCCGACTTGCCTGGCACCCAAGGCCCTGTGGTCTGGCCTTCCGAGCAGCGTCCCCACTGGCCCCCACTGGGGCCCCCTCCCCCACAGGCAGAGTCTTGGTGCCCCACACCTCCTTCCTGGGGCCTTCTGCCGCGTGGCCCTCGCTCAGGGAACCCTGTCCTTTTAAAACGCCACACCCTCCCCCGGCTGCTTCCGTGAGTCCTGCTCATCTTCAAGGGCCGCCATAAATGTGCTCGCAGATTTGACACCATGCATTACATTCGTTGGAACACATCTCTTTCTAATTCAACACGTATTCTCCACTGACTGCTCACGTGTCCCTCGCACGTAGTAGGCTCTCGTGTGGGGAGGACAAGCTGGGCAGGTCAGGGGTGAGGTGTGTTCCATGCTTGGATAAGAAAAATGATTATTTCAAACACATCCTAGCCCTGGCTGGTGTGGCTCAGTGGATTGAGTGCCAGCCTGAAAACCAAAGAGTCACAGTTCGATTCCCAGTCAGGGCACATGCCTGGGTTGCAGGCCAGGTCCCCAGGAGGGGTACACGAGAGGCAACTACACACTGATATTTCTCTCCCTCTCTTTCTCCCTCCCTTTCTTTCTGTCTATAAATAAATAAAAGATTTTAAAAAAATGATTATTTCAAACACATCCTTTGAAGGAAAGATCTTAAAATCTTTTAAAGTAATGTATAACGACAATGACTTTTATTATACGTGGTTTGCAGAATGATTTTACAGAACAAGTAGCCAGAGTTCTGGTTATGAGTATCTGGCAGTAAATGCAATAATTTATTTGGAGAGAATGTGCTAACCTCAGATTGTAAAGAAATGCCCACATGACCTCTACAAGCCAAGCTAAGTGGAAGTTTGGGAGGATTATTCAGCTAATTCAGTCAAAGGGAAAAAGGAAAAGGGAAAGTACTTTTTTTTTAAGGAACTTGTACTCGCTTACTAGCTAAATTTCCTGTGATTAAAAATATGTACTTGCAATCGTCGCCAAACAATATAAAACCTCCTACCCAATAAACAAAATCTTATCAACAAAAGTGTATGGGGGTTTGGGGGTGTTTCTTTTTGTATGTATCCCTATACTTTACAGAATCATTTTACCAAAAAAATTACAGTAAAATGTACAATTTAAGGACTGGTCAATTCTCATGCGTTTTCAAGTTTTTGTATTTGGCCATCTAAAAATATACCTAACAAAATAATTTGAAAGTACATTGTAATTTGTATTTAGAGAATAGGATTTACAATAAAATATATGCATTTTAATCATCTCAATTGTTTGACATTCTAATGTGACTTAGCCACCCTACTTTTTAAAAAAGATTTTTTTTATTTATTTTTATACGGAGGAGAAGGGAGGGAGAGAGAGGGGGAGGAACATCAATGTGTGGTTGCCTCTCCCTCACCCCTCACTGGGGACCAGGCCTGCAATCCAGGCCTGTGCCCTGACTGGGAATCGAACCAGCAACCCTTTGGTTCGCAGGCTGGTGTCCAGTCCACTGAGCCATACCCGCCAGTGCTTAGCCTCCCCCCCCATTGAAGTTTATGTATTTGCATTTATCTCAGCAGATAGCAGATAATTCATACAAACAAAGCATATATCACCATTCTTTTTAATGCCTGAATTGCAGAGATTTTTCGGTTCAGGTTTCTCACATGTTCTGTTTATAGAGATCTTTAAATTTAATACTTGAGCACTAAAATGAATTCTTAACACCAACCCGTGTGTATAGTTTAATTTCCTTTTCTGAGATTCAGTTTACTTTTCACCTCCATTTTAATTATACAAGACGTTAGATAAACATTCAATCCCTCCGTGTATACATGGCCCTCGTGTTCACCCCCAACGCGGCAGAAAGTTAGGGTT